TCCCTTCTTTCCAGCTGCTTCATAGTCCAGGGGTCATTTTAGACCGCGGAATGATCAGACGGTCCCCCTATCAAAAAGGAAAGCCACAAACTTTAAACTGTTAAGCCCTTCGTGGTAGAAACTCTGTTTTCAAGAATTTAAGGGGGGGGGAGGGAAAAGAAAATAGTTTTAATGGCAGATGGGTATCCCTGTGGAGTAAGCGCCACCTTACTCTTTGACTGGAGCCCCCAGGAAGGCTTGGAAATGTTGTTGCTAAACGTAATGGCTTGTCTAATCTTAAGCTTTCTGAGGTAAGGAATATCCTCCAAATGTGTGCAGACATCTCCTGCTGCGCTGGCGATAGGTTCTGGATCCTGGTTGTTGGATTGGTAGAACACTAACCAGATGTTAGTAGTTGTTTCTGCTGTTCTTAAAATTTGTTGGGAGTCAGGTGGGTTGAAAGGATGGACAGACATTTCAGCTGGCTTTCGTCTTTCGTGGTGGTGGCATTGATTGAGCTGTAGCTTCCATTTAGATGGATTGCTGGAGGCAGGATCATGAAACGCTTTTTTTTAAAAAAAAAAAAAAAAGCAGACAGAAATATTGCAATTTGATACAGCATCTGGCTGGGATCCAGATCAGTATTTGTAACACGGGGTACACTGTTTGCCTGTCTAATCAGGTACGGAATCCAACAGACAAAAATCTGAGCTGATGCCTACTTGTAAAAGGTCAACGATAAAGGAATGATGGTGGCTTACATGCAAATACAATGTTCTTCTTCATCTTTACATAATCTGGAACTAAACCAAGAAGCAATTCTGCCGATACCTAAGGCAGCAGTGTGCTCAGGCTCAGTAAGTCACTGCGGTTCTGGCGTAAACCAGCGTGCTCGTCTGTGAAGAGGGAAGCTGCTTATTCCCCATGCAATGAATGGAGGCACGTGGTAAGGCGTGATTACAGCCCACACTGGTGCCTAAAGTCTTTGGGAGATGTGAGGAGTTACTATGCCAGGGTGTACGGATGGTGTGAAGTTACACTGATTTAATGCAGCACGGTTTGCAACAGGATTTGGCTCACTGGTCCTTTTCTGATGGAGAGAGTGCTATATAACAAGCTCATTTTTGAACATCAACCGAGTTATGACCATCGATTAATGGTGTGTCAAACAGACGCAGCAACCGAGAAACAGCCAAAACGTTGTTGGATGTGAGATGTGTTGTTGGCTTTCTGTAGGGAGTGCGGAAAGAGTTTACAGCCCCAATGTGGCCCCGTTCTCCTGCGGACCTCCTCCTGCACCAGCAATGGTCCTGCTGCAACGAGTGCGGGTTGGGTGGCAGAACTGGGCTCTGTAGCACCACTTTGACATCTTAATTTTTTTTTTTTTAAAGTGAATTCTGGGTCAGGTCAGGGAGAGGGACTGCGGCTGCAAAATATGAAAGGAGGGCTAAGACTCGAAGTAGGTAGGTGAAGGAAAGCAATAGGCGGTTTATCCGCGCGCCGGCTCCGATCGGTGGGAACGGCGTGGCAGATGTGACGACCTCGAGCGAGGAGAGGCGAGAGCGTTGACTTAACGCGTTTTAAGGCAGACCGGGCAAAGCACCAGCCCACACGTCGCGAGGAGCAGCTCCTGCACCTTGCTGGGGGAATCGCTGATATCGCAGACCCTTCGGGGCAGGTTTCTGCGCTGGGAAAAACCGGGTAGGATTTGCCCGCTAAAGGAGCAAGCGAGCAGCGGCCTCGCGGCGCTGGGCTCCCGCAGCCGCGATCAAACCAGTCCTTCTTCGGTAGCCAGGGCTGTCGAGACGCATATTAGCGGGGCGGTCCTCCGCCAGCTGCTGAAATCGAGGCGAGATTTGGACTTTCGACGTAATTGGAGCCACATTTAGGCGCCGTGGGGCCAGCGTAGCCGAGGTGGGCTGAGTCAAGGAGCGCAGCCGTGTCTGTAAGCGGGGTTTTGGCGTGGAAATCCCTGAGCCTACGTCAGTTTGCACCAGCGGCGAGCTTGGCTTGGGGGTTTCTAAGTGTTTTAATGTCGAATCCTTCTCCTTGCGCTCGGCGTTTTACGTAGAAAGCGAGGCAAACGCTTTCGTGCAGAAAGGCACTGCCGTGACCGGGTAACGATGGGAACCGTGACCCTCGTCCCCCAAGGCCCCGCGGGCCCACGGTTTGTCCCCGGGGGTGGATTGGAGGTGTCGGGGCCGCGCCAGCCTGGGTCCTGCCTCGGCAGAGCCAGCTCCACAAAGGCTTATTGAAGGCGAGCCAAGCTCCCGCGGAGCCTGGCAGCGCGTTTAGCCGGCGTAGGGTAGACCCTCGCGTTAACTCATGCTAATGACAGGGAGGCCGACCCGTTTCGGGGGGCTGGATTTGGGCCGCTGGAGAAAAGCAAACAAGTCTGCAGGAGGACGAAGCGGTCGGGCCGCAGAGTCCGCTTTGGTCGGGCGCGCGAGCAGCTTCTCGGTCAAAACTAGCGTGAAACAGGCTGCCAGCTCTTCCTGAACAGATCAGTGAGACCTTTACAACAGGGACATCTCCCTGCCCCATCCGCACTTAGGGCTACACAAGTGCAAGCTGCCTTGGAAAGTGCAGAGCGCTTCTGATGGGGTGATGATTTTTACGTTTTACTTATTTGTTTTTCCCCCAGCTCCCCGGCAGGTGATGCTGTACAAGCTTTTGGTTGCAGGGCTGTAACTGGGGCACGGTTTTGGTGTTGGGAATACAGTCGCAGCTGGGCTGAGCATCCGCGGCCTGTTTGGGTGTTTGCTCTACCTCTGGCTCAAACCCCAGGGGCAGTCAGTGGTCCCACAACCCAGATGTGTAAATTGTATCTCATGCAATGACTTTGCCTTGCCCATATCTGTGGGCCAAGGCTGCAGGGATAATTAAAGAAGACAAGCCGGGGCGAGTGGGGAGATGCCGTGCTGGCCAAACTAGGCGTGAGTAAACTCCCGTTTGACCACATCTTTACTCTCAATGACCCCACCACTTCTTAGAAAGCTAGGAGGCCGCAATCAGATTTCAGTGGGATGAGTCACACATGTAACTTCGAGCGTGTGATTTTTCTGGTTGAGCAGAGCTCTTGGTACCTTATGGGCTGACACCTTATAGTCAATATATGCTATTATAAATAGTACATTGAATTTGCAGTGTAGTGAAGCACTTGCTTGTTTAACCCATCAGTAGCTCAGCATTTGTATGCAGAATAGGCTGAATCTGTTACTCAGCCTGTGTTGCTCATCTGTTTTTGGTGTAAGTTGGTCCAAAGCCTGATAACTGTCTGTCTTTCTTTATGTCCTAAGCAATAAAATAATATTTTTGTTGGGAAGTATCTGCAGTATTGCATAGCGTTAGCAGGTTTTATCTAGGATTCCAGTTAATGCCCAAATTATAAGTAGCTGTTCACCATAGAAATACCGACCAAGCTAATATTTTTAACTTGATTCCTTTTTATTTTGGGGATAGGTGAAATATGGGGAAAAAGACAAGGTTTTTGCATTCAATAAAGAGAAAAACATATCCTGGCACAGTGAAGAGAGATCTCTTTCACTGCTTCGTTGGGGTTATAATGGTCGTTAAACACTCTGATCTCCTAGAAAGTTAACATGCGGCTATAAAAGTTTCCTTCTTCATAAACACAGTATGGCTTTTCAGGCGTTTCCAGATGGGGGCTGTCGTAGCATCCGGTGCAGGGACTGAGAGAGAGGAGACTTACAGGGTCTTGTTCTGTTTTGTCACCATCTCTAGCCCCAACGTGTGCGCTGTGCAGAAGCTCATTGGGACAAACAGGAAATACTTCACCAACTGCAAGCAGTGGTACCAGAGGAAAATCTGCGGCAAAGCCACGTGAGTACTTGCGAGAGGTGCGCGGGTCCTTCCCGAAGAGCCCCGTTGTGGGGGGCGGCGTGGGACGTGGCCGTGGGAGAGTGACATCCATGGGGGTAGGGGTCGGAAAGGGGCTTTCCACATTGCCGCGGTCTTGTGGTGGTCGTTTCCTTTCCTTCTGAAGGCACGGGCAGGCGACCGGCTGTTTTTTCCGTATTCGTGTTTTAGGCTTTTACTTCCAAAGAAGTGTTCGTGCCTTGGTTTTGCTCAAATGCCAAGCATGATCTTGAAACATCGAGATGTTAAGAATGGAAAGTATTACATAAATTCAGAAACTGATTATTTATTCTAGTTGCATTTCTGTATGTCCTTACATAACGCTCAGTGCTGTAATGAAGTGTGTACCAGATGTTTTCTAGTACTTAGCTATGTCTCTCTCAATCCTAGACCCCGTGCTGCATAGTTTTAAAAAAAGAGAGGGAAAAAAAAAAGCAACATAAGAGTTGATGGATGTTGGAAAGAGCATAAATTTCATCAACACATGATGAATTTGTTTGGGAGGGAGAACAAAAATAAGGGGAAAGAAGTGTCAGTTTTAGCCACCACTCTCTGATGGCTCCACCAGAAAAGTTAATTAGACTTATAGGCCAATCCAAAATCTAAAATTGCAGACAATAATATTCGAGTAGCTGTTGCACAGAGCATCTGTGTAACCAGCCTCGGGACATTCCTGTGAAAAATGTAGTCGGCAGATAATAAAGGATAGGCATGCCTGGCTACGTGCCAGGCTGTAGATCAGGAGTGGGGAATCTTTTTTCCTTGGTATGGGCCAAATAGGGCTTTCAGATACGTTCGTTGGCCCATACTCTAGCACACGCCACCATATTGTCCAATACTAATGCGAAGGAGTATTACTTGCATAGTTGCTGGCTGTGTGAAGCAAAGCGGCGGGCCAGGCCTGGCCCCAGACCCGTGATTCTCCTACGTCCTGGGGGCTCTCCTGCGTGTATCTTGGGAGACAACTGTTTGCATGGTCATGCCAGACCACTCTTCAGTGTGTGACGTGAGGAGGCAGATGTTAATAACTGCTACTGGAGCAAGTGTTTCCCATTGCCAGCGTCGATGCAGGTTTTCCTGTGCACTTCTGGAAAGCAGAAGTTGAAATGAAAGTATGAGCAGTTTCTCCCAGGTGAAATCATGCACAGAAAATAACTTCCCTAGAAGAACAGATAGGAGAAAACCATCCAATGTGTTCCTGGTGTGGTCCTATGCAAGCTGTAATTTAATCTAATGCAACATGCCATTAGGTTCTGCAGATTAAATAAACTCTGCTTCTGTGCTAAACAGCAGACTTAGAGATCTTTCACTGTGGCAAGCTTTACTGGTTTTATTTCAGTTGCTTGCATTGGTTCAGTTGAGTTTCCTGGCTATCAGATTTAGTTTTGAGTGTCCGTCATTGCTATTGTGAGGAGGGTTGCAAAACAGGAATTGTCACTGTGCAGTTTTTGGCCTTTTATCGTGTTGCCCATGGATTCATCTAAAATAGGAAAACTGTCTTTTAGGAAGGTGTATTGCAGCATGTACCAATCTTGAACATATAAAGTGGTTTCCCTTATTTCCAATTGTCTTTACAAAAAAGAAAAGAAGCAACAATACTGTAAAAAAGCTAAACCAACACCCCGCCACATGCACACCTAATTTGACGAAGCCACCGAATCTGGGAAGACTTCATTTAGATGTTTAGAGTTCAAACTCTCATCTTGGCTGAAAGATGGCCTTCTTGAAATGTCCTTGACATTAAATGGATCAGATTATGGCATGGCAATATGGTATCATCGTTGCCTGTGCTGTAGAAGACCCTTATGATAATGGAGTAGTACAGTGGGTCTCCAAACAAAACCTTGCTCAGCTTCGGGTATGCGACAGCTTTGCTGTTAAAATCACAGAAGGACAAAGAGATCCAGCCAGCTAATTACTTTAGCTCTGAAATAAATCAGAAACTAAGCCTCAGGTAACCCAAATGTGCAGCTGTATTTGGCAGAGATGAACTGTGCTGCATGTCTCTGGAAAGAGGGAGAACAACTGGCATCTAGCAGTATTTCATGATTTCATTTGAGGAGATGCAGTGATCTCTTCTAACCTCATTTTTTCTGGTTTCACCCAAATGTCTCATCCAATGATGCACTGCTGAGAGAAAAGCATATACAGTGTTAACCTGTGTGAACCTATGAGATAATGGCCCCATTCTATCAGGAGTTTGCTAAATATTCTTCACTTCGCATCATCTTGACAATGAGTTTTATTGTCTTGCGCTCTTCCTAGTTATTTTTGAGCCAGGCCTTACTTTGACCCGTAGCAGTGCCTGTGCAGAACAAAAGACATGTGCCTGGACTCAGATTTTCCTGAGGTCTCTGGGACAGCTCTGATTACAAACATTTGCCAGTGACGGCTCCCACTGGATGTGGTCCTCCTGACGTATGGAAGCAATCAAGAGTCGTGCAGGCCGTAAAGGGCATGGTGTGTTATGCTGCAGCAACCAGACTCTTAAAAAAGCAAGTGTCAAGGAGCCTCTTGGCTCCCGGGAGAGGGCACGAGCACAGTTACTGCTGCGGAACATGAACCCTCCAACTGGCCCTCTGCGTGAGGCTGAGCTGATCAATGAGAAGCTCTTAAGAACAGGAGATACCTTTACATCCCAGAAACAGGCAGGATTTGGCTTGTTAATTATTACTGAATGCTTCCAGCCTTTGCTTAGGATTTATGACCAGAAACCCTCTCCTGAGGTTGTGTGCTTAGGCCCTTCCTCTGATGGATGGATCCACTCCTTCAGTGCAGTGGGTGTGGTGGAGCATTATCCCATCAGAGGCTGGTGGATTGGTGGATAAGCATGTTCCTCGAAAGCTTTGTCCACCCATGAGAATGGCAGTCCTGGAAGATGCTTGGCCCATCTTTTCTCTACTGATTCTGCATTTGACCTGTCCGTTTTCCTTAATATTTACTTAAAGGGTCAGTGCTGCTACAAGTTGCACGTGTTGCAGGTGCAAATAGCAGGCTCTAGGAAGATAATTTTAATTGCTTTGACTTCTTTTCTTTTCCTGCTTTGAACACTGTTTGGAATAGGTAGGAGGGAGGGAGGGTCAGCAAGAGGCCAGGGACTGTAGAGAAGCAAAGCTGAGCTCCTCCAAAGTTGGCTCAAAAAACTGAAATGCTGCACTGAGCGAGGAGGGTGGAAAAGTTGCTACAAGCCTGTAGCGGTAAGTAATGACTTCACCCCTTTGAGGATGATCGTGTCCTGCATCCAGAGACAGGGAGCAGCAAGGAAAGCCGGCTCGGAAAACACGGATGTGTCCGGTCTTTACTCTTGACTCAAGGTGCATCACGATGGCTGTTGGGGTTCATGGCTGACAGCCCTCAGGCCGACTCCGGTGGGTGCAGCAGGCACCATGGAGGGTTGTGCTGTGGCTCTCACCAGATGGAATAAGGTCAGGGTTGAAAGTGTGAGGCTCGGTGGTGAGGACTGGCAGATTCACTTCGCAAAACACATCTTTTGGCCCAGCGTGGTGGAGTGGTCTAGTGTCACTATATATGCAGCATGGTGGAAACTTCAGCTCATGCCTCGGAGGGGGGCTCTCGCCTCCTTATCTGCTTTTTTTCCTTTGGTGTTCTTCTCTTTGCTAAAGATTTGGCTTGCACAGTTAGGAAGAAAGAGGATGGAGGATTTATGTGCATTTTATCATTGCTTTACTTGCTGATGAAGTGAGATAAGATAGTTGGCAAGAAGTCTGACACTGCTTTGATTTTAATGGGCACTGAAACAAGATTGTTTTGATAATTAGGTAATTTTCCACTGTTGGTTATTCTGAGGCCAAAGACATAATTTATTTAGCATATATTCTCATAGTTGCCTTCTGTTTTTTTAAATATTTTTCTAACTCCCTAATGCACTAGACTCATTCTTCTAGAATTAGTGTTGCAATTAAATGCTCTTCCCCCCACACTTGTCTTTTTGTTCTCAGGACAAAAAAAAACTTACATCAATTCTTTTTTTTTTTTTTTGAGGAATAACTAGTAGCAGTAAGTTACCCCTTAATACTGTCCTTTTTTTCATTTTAAATTAACATGCCTTTTTTGTCTGATGTGCTTTCCCCAATTCAGGAAAAGAATGAGTCTCTGGCACTTTTTTTACAAAAACAAAACATATGGGTTTTATTACAGGAAATGATTACAAATGGATCTTTATTCACTAATATATGCCTAAGCTTATTTTTATTACCTTGAAAAATGCACTTTAAATTTAATTTCAGATTCTCAGACTGCATCGGGGATGAAACAATGACTAATAAAACCAAGGAAGCTCGCTTCTGCAGTCAAATGCACGTAGACATTTATAGACTACACTGTTTGGAGACCTAAGTCTGAATAACTGTAAAGACTTGACTCCAAATTACTCAATGAGGAGGTCAGGAAACTGTGGTCGGAGGCGTTGCAGAGTGGATGACAAACGCTCTTTGTGCGAGGGCATTGCTTATTTAACCCGCATAGTTGGCATCCGCCGTGTGGAGATGTAATGGTGTGTAACTGCTGACCGGACACCAGAAATACCTCCTGCGCTTGGCAAACCCACCGGCCTTCGGGCTACCCCGGGCAGTTGAGCCGCCGGTGTGGAAACGCAGCGGGGCTGAGGCAGGAGCTGGTTCCCCGGTCGTGCTGGCTGCGAGGCGGAAACGCTTTGCCTCCCTTGCTGGGCCCGTGCTAATGGTGCGTGCAGGCAGCGGGAGGCTTTCGTGATGAGATTGGCAGGCTCTTGCCTTGGGTTTAGGGCCATCAAAAAGAGATCGTGCCGCTCCGATTCGCTGCTGAGGTCCTGGAGGTCCTCAGTGTTGGCACGTGGCGTGGAGCCATCAGAAACCAGGGTGAAGCAAGTCACCCAGCCCTGGTGGCTGCAGGGCCTGGCTCCGAACTGATGGAGAAGCACGCTTCAGTGCAACAGCCTCCCTTCCCGTAGGGACACCTGGGGCACCTTAGCACTGAAATGCAGCGGCCACCAAACGTGGGAGGGAATGAGCAGCCATGGGGGGTCCAAGTGGCTGATGTCAAAGATGTTTTTTTGATCTCCAGTTCTCACTCCTTGCTGGTGCAACACTTGGCCGGGCGCCCTGTGTTCCCCTGGCCCTTGCAGAAGTGCGCTGGTACTTAGACAACTTAAAAAAGAAAAAAATCACAGCTGAGGTCCGATGGGGCAGGGTGGGACAAAGGGCAGCAGGGGCTGGAGGGGAGAAGGGCGAGGGAGGCTGCGGGTGGGCACGCGAGCCCGGATGCTGGATGGCACCCCTACATGGGTGCAAGCCACCGGCTCAGTGGCCTGGGCTCCTCGCGCGCGCCCGGCAAAAAAACGCCGCGCACGTGGGCCTCCCGCTCACGTAGTCACAGCTCGTTAATCTCCGATCGATCTATAAATAAGCCTTTTAAAGCCTACGTCAGCCCTCGGGAATTATTTATGCTGAACTTTGGAACGATTTGTCTTTAATCAGCTCTTCGTCTTTGATTACGGTTGTGAACCAAGGGAACTGTCTAGACTGGATTTAGTTTCGAGGGTGAAAGAAAGAGAAATCGGAGCTGGGGCGGGGAGGGGGGGAAGTGTGTGTTTCTAATGACCAGGAGACGGGGGAGCCGGGAAAAGTGGAACAGCAGGGTGTTAAGATCTCCGGTAGTCAAAGGAAGGGATTGCTTTAGGCAAACTCACATGGCATATATAATGTCTAGACAATCAGTCTGGGTTTGCTTTGCAATTCTCTTAGGAAACCGTGACACAGAATTTATTTGCTTCTGTCACAGAAACACAGGTATTTGTTTCACTTACTGGCTCTTAATTACCCTGAAGAATTCCCTCCTAAACCCCAGGCGTTTCCACTGTTTGTTAACAGTGTTAAAACGATGACAAAGATCCGAAGCTGGAGGATTTTCCTTTCTCTTTAATCGAGCGTGCCGAAGCTCGGCTCTTGCGCTACAGCATCAGACTTGTCCCGAATCCAGCGGGGAGCCCAGAGGAAACGCTTGCCTTTGCGAGGAATACCTGTCCCCGCGCGGGTTAGCCCAGCAGCCAGTGGCCTCGGTCCTCTCTTCCCAAGTGTAAGAGCAATAGGTGAAAGAACCCCCTGTGAAAAATAAATGAGTAACTTTTGTTGTTGTTAACATTGAAACATGTTCCCTTAAACGGTCAGCTTAAGAATCAAATGGCTTTTTTTATTTTCCATTGAGTTGCAGACGATGGCTGCAGCCTTCAGCCAGTTTTTGCTTATTTAGGCTCCGCAAATCTGCAAAGCAGCCCCGAGTCGCGCAGCATGAGGTCTCTGACCCCGTCGGTTTTACCCTGGAGGGATAGTGCTTCAAAAAAGCAGGCAACTTGCTGCCAGCCACAAGGAAATGCTTGTGCACCACACTGAGGGGTTGCTCGATTACTCCAGCCCCTTTGGCCAACGTATGCAAGGCCAGAGATGCTCCTTTCCCCCCAGCTGGTGAGCACCAGGGCTTCCAAAGCCTGCGATGTGGGTTTAGCTGTATGCAGGCAGATAGTTTCTCATGGTGGACAAGAATGGGTGAAATGAAGGGGAAACGCTCGGCTGGTTTGGGGAAGCGGACGTACCGCAGCTGCAGCGCGTTGTCCAAACAGTGGTCAGACGTGACGGCAGCCGTTGGCCAGGGCAGCCCAAAACGGCGAGGGTGATGCGTATGGGAAGAGGATGAATGCAGTGATTCATACCCCGGCACATACAAAACATACCACGGTATCCAACGCATCTGAGTTCTTGTGTTGCTTTCCTCTGTCGAGGATCAAAAAAGCACGTGGGGATGATAAGTCCTTAAAATGGATGTGCGTTGCCCCATTGTTCAGCCATAGCTTAGAGCCGCCCAGTATTAAAAGTGTGAGTCGTCCTTGTTTTATTGTCATTGCTGAGTTGTGTTTGCTCTCCGTAGCATGCTTCAGAGCACACTGGCTATGAAATACATAGCTGGCACCAAAACCTCACAGACTTCTCCTATGAGCTATGTGCGACTGTATCGTTCCGCTCTCACCGCTAGGTCTCTCTGCCTCACTTCTCTACATGCAGCGTAGATCCTGATACGAGCTTGTGCCTCATCGCTACCTTAAGCTGCAGGGATCACACCATTGGTTTCCATCCACTGTTTGAAGAGAGACTGAATAAAGTCTCCGGGAAAGCGTGGTTTTGAAAATAACTTCCGTCTGCTTTTGTTCTGTGGAGAAAATGGCAACATGCAGTCCTGAAGGAGATAAAAACTGTGGTTTGTCTTTTGCTCAAGTCTATATTTCTAGTGAAGAGTCTGCTTTAGAAACATCACCAAATATGGATGAACACAGACAAGAAAATAATATATATATAATAATATATAATATATATAGTATTGAAAAAGTAAAAGAAATTGAAATGCCATCGGTTAATCTGCCATATCCATCTCTTATTCCAGAGTAATCAGTTATGAGTGCTGTCCTGGATATGAAAAAGTTCCTGGAGAAAAAGGCTGCCCAGCTGGTAAATATGTTTGACGTTTATTCAGACTTTTAAATTAAAATTACATAGCTGTCTAGTAAAGAGAAATGTTAGAAAATTATTCAAAGTGGATTTGATTTTTTTGCAATTTGTGCACAGTGTTGCCCTGTACAAGTCAAAAATGGACTCAGCAGAGCACCAGCCGAGTGCCAGATCAGCTCCAAAGCATGCAAAATGTTTCAGACAATTTAAAACCCTGGATATAATTAAACTAAATCAAGCATGGGAGGGCCATGGGGAATTACTTATTCCAACAAGTAATATAGCTCTGTTCGAAATGCAATACAAAGTAATGATACAGTAACAGACAGTTCTGCCAGTCTCTGCTCATTTCTGTTTTGGCAAGCCTGAGTTTAGCAAAATTGCATTTAATAGGAAATACAGTTCGGTCCCTGGTGGGGATGGGGAAGGGAATTGCCTGGGTTTATCGAAGAAAGACATGTTCTGCTTTTGCTTTCTTTACACCTCCTCCCACAGTGAGCTCACGGCCGCCTGGTTAATGGTGGGGGCCGTCGGTGACCGACCCGCTGCATCTGGGTCCGCAGCGTTGGG